AGGAGGAGAAGAAGAAGAAGAAGAAGGAGGAGGAGGAGGGGGAGAAGAAGAAGAAGAAGGAGAACAACATCGCTCTGCGTACGTCATCATTCTGCGCAGAATGTCGCTGCAGTGAAATCAAACGAACTTCGCAGATCATCGTTGATTCGTCCTCTCAGCTCCAACATGTCGGACTCGCAGACTGTCCAGGATCGTCTGGATCGTCTGCGGGAGCTGGAGGAGTTCACTGAGAACTGTAAGAAGCAGCTGAACGACATCTTTGAGACGCTGGGATGGTCACCGCACTGCAAGCAGGTAAGGGCAAGCTAACGTTAGCCGAGCGTTAGCTTTAAGTGTGTTGTTGTGGCGCAGCAGCATCGTAGTCATTGTGAACGTTGTGCGGAGGAAGGTGAGTGTTGTTGTGAAACAGCGTGAGACACGAGCCGCAACGTTAACGGAGCTTTACCCGTTCAGTGTAAATCTGGTGTTAGCATCATGCTAACAACAATCAGAGGAAGTCAGTCTGATGTTGGATCCTCGACAGTTGTTGACGCCTCCAGCTCCACGTCACTGACAGTAAGTCACGTGTTACTGCTGCTGGAGTCAGACAGTGAAAACAGGTTCATCCCTTATATATATATATTTATATACAGTCTATGGTTCGTCCTCTTTGTCCAGTTTTCCAAACATCAACCACCAGAATGACTGGGCCACAGACATTTGAAAAGAATGTTGATTTGAGCGAGTTCACCAAAAGTCACCAATGTGCAAATGTTGCATTATTATTTCCTGTTGTGTTTGTAAAGGAAACCGCTGCAACTACAGTCAGTTCAGGACACACAACAGTCCGAAGGCTGGTGATTCTTTGCAAAGCTTCTGGAACAACAATGACTAAACATTGATGTTCAGAATCGATTTTGAATTATATTTGATTTCTGGAATTCCTCTTTCTGTGCCTCACGACCCCCCAGGGGGTCTGGACCCGGAGTTTAGGAATCTCAGGTCTTGGGTAATTCAATGGAGGGTTGGTTTGGAGTTGCTGGGTCACATGACATGGAAGCTATTGAAAGAAAAAACTTTGAAAGTCGTAAATATCTGCACACACACACAGGGAGCATGTGGATTAAGAAATAAGATCACATATTTCACTGCCTCCGATCAACTCGCATTTGTGGTGTTTTCTCAGGAGGCCATGGAGCAGTGTCCGTATGACCCCGGCCACAGAGTCCCAGTCAGGACTATGGAGAAACACAAAGCCTCCTGCCTCCTCAGAAAGATGGGCTACTCAGCGGAGGAGCAGGTACGACACAGAGGGTGATGACGAAACAATAACAATACAGCAGAACGTCAAAGCGTGTCAGGCGTGTTGATGTTCTGCCACTATTAATGCACAATTTAAAGAAGAGTAAAATGTGGTCTGTGGGTTGCAGGCAGAGATGTACGACCCGTCTGTGTGTTATGAGAACAGCAGCGTTCAAAGCTTTACCATGGGTGAGTCACTGTCCCTTCACTCCCACTGCAGCTTAGCAAGATAACTGCTCCATGAAACAACCCTTGTCACCTGGAGTCAAAGAGAAAGTGAATTATGTTTCAAAGGTCCCAGTGATCTCATGAGTCTGGGAGAAACTGAATGTATGAAACTGTTCTGGTTGGCAAACAATCACAGGGCGGGAATTCAGTTTCCATCTGAGATTTGAAGAAAAGACAAAATTGTCACAATGTTTTAATTCACAAGAATCTGTGAAGATATGTTTTTCCTTTCCCTCCACAATGGTGTAAAAATAAAAGTTTTGAGACTCAGTATAAGAGATTTCAAATCTGCTAAGTTCAGATAATCAGAAACAGTTATAAAAAAAAATCTTCTGTTTATGAACATGCTTTTAAATAAAATATTTTTTAAAGTAATTTTTAACATTATAGATATTATCAAATATAAGAGATAATTTAAAAAGATTTGTCTTTTAAAATGTACACCCACTGACCACTCCCCTTCACTTCCTGTCCTGATACCGACGACGAGTTCAGTGTAAAACAAAAGTTACATCTCAATCAAAGATGTTAAAATATACAAATATAAAAAGGAAGTTCGTGTCAATTTTGCCACAACGTGTCGTTTCCTTCATGCAGACAAATCCGTGCAGCACCAGGTGATCCTCCAGGCGAGATCTGCCGCACCGCTGATGAGGATGGAAGGAGTCTTCTGGCAAGGTATCAGCGGATTTTACAACCGTGTCTCTCGTGTGGATGTGTGATTCTGATCAGAGATGCCTTTTCAGCAGAAGCAGAGGAGAGTGTCTGTGAAGGTCCAGTAGGTGTCACTAGAGGGTTATTTTGTGCTGAACCCATGCGCTCATCCCTCAGCTGTTTGGTCTTGTAACCTCCACGTCCATCGCTCCCGAGATCCTTCAGACATTCTGTGTACTTTTTCCTCAGGCTGCTGGCCAGAGAGAGTCCAGAGTCTGTCCCTGGGACATTTAGGTTCACACATTCAGTTCAGTCTGAAATCTCTCTCTCTCGTCTCTGCCATTTCACTTCGATGAGTAATAATAATAATTCACCTCCCTCATCATCAGGTCAGTACTCCGGCCAGCCCGTCGATGTTCCTCAGAACCACAAGCGAGCTGTGTGTGATCTCACCGTGGCCGACCGCTTGGCTCTGTACGACCACGTGGTCGGCGTCCTCAGCCAACAGAAAGAAGCGGCCTCCTCTTGCAACGATGATCTCTACGTGGACTTGGTGTCCAAACTTCAGAGGGGTAAGACTCTCCCACGTTCTCTCAAGCTTGTGTCCGCCCTTTTTTCTCTTTTCTTTGTTTTATGGGCTATTTGGACATAAAGTTTTAATTGGCACAGAAATATTTCTTTAAAAATTCAGTTTGTTTGGCTTTTTGAAGAAATGCTTTCATTTCAAAGCATCCTCTCGTGACATCAGGGTGCTTGTGTCTTTTTCCGTGCGTGCAGATGACGATCAGAACGAACCGAAGACTCATCTGGAGCTGATGGCAGAGATGAGGGACTACAAGAGGCGGCGTCAGTCCTACCGGGCCAAGAACGTTCACATCACCAAGAAGTCCTACACTGAGGTGCGAGTGAGCCACGACGTTGAGCTGGTTCTCTACCCACAATTTATCTGTATCTGAAGAACATAGTTTTTATAAACGTTGGTAGCTCTGTTACCTCTTCAGCTCTTAGTCTCAGTTTTGGAGTGAGATTTTATTTGGCACCTTGGGTCTGAATGGGTTAAATAAAGTTTAAGAAATGATTTCATTATGTTGTTATCACTGTAGGTGATCAGAGAGGTTATCAACGTCCACTCAGAGGAGCTTGCCAGACAGTGGAGAGAGGACGAGGCGGAGGAGTCGTCGACACGATCTGCACACTCCTCCCACAGGTACAAAGAAAACTGACCCCGTGATCACCTTCCTGTGACATTGAGAGGATGAAGCTTTGTTTTAAGTGAGTTCGCAAAGTGAATAACTTCTCGAGACTGATTTTTTTTTTGTCTTATCAGGCGCCGCTTGGATGAAAGGAGATCAGCGTCCTCAGAGTCTCACCAGTCCCACAGCAGGAGCCACCGCAGCCTGGAACGAAGCCACGACGGAGACAGCAAGAAGAAGAAAAAGAAGAGGGACAGGTTGGTCGACACAAACAAACCCGTCTTTGTCTCTTTATCGGTTGTTTGTGACGAGACACGACCATATAACACAGAGCACTGAGGCTCCTTTACTCAGTCTGAGCCTCCAGAGTAAGATAAAGTCTCTTCTCTGCAGGACTGATCTAAAGAGGCTCACTCATCCTCTCATCTCGTCCTGACTGGATTACTGCAATTCAATAAAAACACAGAATCTCGAGCTGGTTTTAAAACCATCAATCCGATTGTAAAGTGTCATTGGTCAAAAGTTCATATACCAAATACATCACTCATTTTCCTTTTCATTAATACAGGGATTCCCGTTCCCCCAGTGAGCACCACCACGACCGAAAGAGGAAGAAGAAGAAGAAGAAAGAGGAGAGAGAGAAGGAGAAGTGAGGCAACGTGAACATTTTGAGCTTTTTGTGCTGCGCGTCATTTTTAGCGTTTAACTCTCAAACAGACTCCGCCTACCTCTGCCTGATTGGCTGAGAGTGGTTTCCAACTACAGACAAACTTGGAATGTTGGTCAGTAGTGTCATAGCTGGCATACCTTTACTGCGGGGTCAAAGGTCACAGGATTTCTCCACTCTTTAGGGAGAAATGGAAATCTTTTAATTTGAAATTTGGGTTTTTTTAATGTGCGAGTGTGTGATTTGTGTAAAAGATGCAGCAGAGCGTCTGCACCGCTGACGTCTGAGTTGACGATCAGCAACGATTCAGTTTCACGTGTGGTCAAAAGATTCAGTGAATGTGTAATAAAGAGTTAAAAGTGTTTTTGTTTGTTCTGAGGTTTTTAGCGTCCATGCGACCTGCAGCGTCTGTTGCCTCACGCAGAAGTCAGGGTGTCGTCATGTTGTGCGTTGGCTCTGCAGCGTGGAGGTAACGTCTTCAGTTGCATTTGTCACATCTGTCTTAAACCTTTAAACCAATTTCAACTGGAATATCTCTCAGCAGAACTCTAGTAGTAAAGTCTGCTCAATTTAATCAAACTGCACCAAATCATAGATGTCAGTCCTCTAAGTACGTCTGATTGTTTTCATTCTCTGAGAAATGAGTGAAAATCTAAAAATGAATCGATAGTGAACAAGTTATTTATCTCACTATGTTAAAGAGATAAATAACTCTTGAAATCCAGTCTGTAGCTTTACGTAATTCTACTGACGAGCAAACAAACGGACACAAGTGAAAACACGACCTGCTTGTGATAAAACGTGGTGAAGATCTTCAGCTCTGAGCTGACGAGTTCGTTTTTGATGCAGAGTTTAGAAAAGTTTCTTAACTTTGACATAAAGCATTTCTTTTTCTCAGGAGCTAATATTATATGATCACAGAAAAAAAACTGGCACTTGTGTATTTTTTTATTTTGGACCCAGCAGAAGTATCTCAGAAATGTAAATGCTGTGATGTAATTCTACTTTCTCCTGTAAACATCATATGAAGAGAATAATGTCGCTGTGAAGTCAAGACCTTCTTGAAACTTCTGCATAAATCCATGCACCTCTCGCCCTCTCTCTGCTGGAGCTGGATCCTGGCTCAGGTATTTCTCACCCTGTTGAGAAGCAGAGACAGAGGAACAAAAAAAAAAAAAAAAAAAAAGAGAGGATCCCGTCAGTGCCAGGGAACCTGAGGGATCCTGGAGAGAAGAAGAGAGCGCAGGGGCAGCCGTCGGAGTGATGAGGCTGTGAGGGAGAGCTGCTCAGGGAAAGCTCGATCAGGTTGTTTTGGGGCATCGTCTGGTCTGAGAGGAATCGCTCTGCAGAACCATGGGAGCCTCCAGTGGCAAGGTAAGTGGGGCTGAGCTGGGTTTGGCCGTGGGCCCTGCAGGTCTGGGCTTGATGGAAGCTCGCGGCAGCTGTGGGCAGATTGTTTGTGGAAGAATCACTCGGAGAACAACGTAGATTGGTCAGTTAACGGTTAACAGCACCTTTGTAGAATCGTAGAAACTGTTCAGGCTTCTCCGTGTCGAGGGAAACTAACATGCAGAGGAGCAATGAGCAGGAAATGATGGTAGAAATGATCTGTACATTTTCTTGCTCTGATTTAAAACACTTGATTTAAAACAGCTGCCGTCGTAGGTTTTAAATGTATTTTCACTGTATTTGACAGAATGGTTGAACTTTAACTTGAGAGAAGATCTGCATTTATCTTGAGCATGTGTTGAATAACCAAGAATCTTTTCACCTTTGAGAGTTGGGACGATGTTCATCTATGTCGCACCACAGATTTGAATCAGTGGTTGCACCTTCTTTTCTCAAAACTGGTTTTAAAACTGAAGCAGCAGCGAACGAGGGCAGCGTCTCACCTCTCTGCCCCACAGGTCCTGCCGCTCAGCTCCCTCACTGCAGTGTTCTGCTCAGTCCAAGTGTTCATGGGTGTTAATCTACAGAGCATCACTAAGTTCTGTGCAACAGAAACACTGCTGGAAGAAAAAGCTTCACGAGTAAGAGACAAAGGCAAAGATGAATCTTTGTGGCTTGATTCTACGGTTGAGTTTGTCCGTCTCTGTGAGTGAAGGAGTCTCTGAGTTCGCTCAGCTTCAGGATCAAGACGTCAGCTCAAAGTGCTTCAGCTGCTCAGACTGAAACTTACCAACGTTCTCCTGCGTCTTTAACTTCAAATGTTTTTTCACGTCCACCTCGCTGCAAATTACTGTTCGTAAAATTCTTAGTAAAAAATATGTCAACGCTAAAAGAGCAAAATTCCTCAACTGCAGATTGTTTATTAAAAGTGATTGTTAAATATTCACTGTGATCTGAAATAAAACCTTTAACTTCTGTCCAGTACAGATTCATATTGAAAATCTAAATCTATATTTTGTTTCCCAGAAGTTATAAAAACATTTATTACCAATATTAGACAGTAAAAAAATATATAAAACATATATTTATTGTAAAATAAAAGTTTTCCTATCACCACTGAAACGCAGACGCCGATTTGTCTGACAAAGTTTCATATTGACTGATTTTAAGTGGCGACCCATCAAGCGGACGGTAAACTGAGGTTTGAGGAATCAGCTTCAGGAGTCATTGTCACTTTCATCTCTGTTGATGGATCCAACAGCTCATTGATTTTGTCGGCTGCTCGTCCAGGTCGGGGTTTTTTCGTGGTTCACAGTGAAGCCTCAGGAATGTGAGAAGAGTCTGAGAAGAGCTCGGACAAAGAAACTCAGTGTGTTTGACTCTCACACAAACATCAGCAGAATCTCACCTGAGCAGCTCAAACCCTCAGCACTCAGCAGAGGCTCCACAGAATCAGCCTCATATTTGAGTGGGTTCTACTGAGTCCTCACGCTTTGTCCACGTCTCACCACCTCTGCAATCCGGGAGGACGGTCCAAAGCTTGTGTCCTCATTTGGACGGAGTTAGGAGGAGAAAACCCTGTTGGTCAGTGAGTCTGGACATTTTCCGGAGTTTATCTTCTCCATTCGAAGAAGCAGCAGGAGGAACATGTGAGGAACATTCAGGCGAGGGGTGG